TCCGAATCCGGGTATGTCGCCGAACCCGTCGCCACCGGGTCCGAAGACCCCGTCGAAGCCGCCGTCCTTCCGAGAGGCGGCGGCGAGAGAGTAGGCCGGCGAGAGGAGGAGGAGGGCGATGAGAAAAGTGGGAATGGCCATGGAGTGAATCATTTGATTTGATTTGATTTAGGAATTAGTTAGGGAGAGGGTTGAAATAGAGAAGGGGAAGTGGGTAAGGAGATAGTGGGAGGCAGCAAATGCATTTATGGACATTGCAGGGGCAGTTGGCTCCTCATTAATGGACTTCTTTCACATTTTTTGTTAAATTTTCAAACAAGTGAAATATAAATATGATTCTCCTTTTTTTTAGTAGGATCGAGCTCGGGATTTGAATTCTCTCGAAGATAAATATCTTAACTAGTTCAATTATGTTCAGTTGACATAAATATAATTTTTTATTCGTAAAGTTTGAAACAAGTATCTATTTCATCTATGAAATTTTGACATTTTAATTTTTTTAATTTGTTAAAAATCTTATCCGTAGTACACATCGGTATTCCAATGCATTTCTCTTTCTTTTTTTAGTTCGCTGATTCTCATCTGGTTCTCTAAATCTCTACAAAATCATCCACCCTCCCCCTCAACTTCCTATCCCCACTACCTTCATAACTTCAAACTTCCTCAACAATGGCGGCCAACAAAGTTCTTGAAGAGGAGGATGTGAAAGAAGTAGAGAATGAGAGAGGAAAAAATAAGGAATTACGATGTTCGGTAAGGAATAAATAAAAATAAAAAAGATTTTTTTTATTTTTTTTGCAGCTCATCTAAAATTCATATAAAATTGGTATTCTAATTCATCCACTTAATTAATTCAGTTATATTTTCATTAGTCAATTAACGGTCGTATTAGGATTTTAGGGATCAAAGACTCACGAGCGTATTTTATCAAATAAATAAATCAGTTGCTTGCCAATGTTAAGATTTTAAAACCAAGACTAGGTATTGTAAATCTATAATTCGATCTTACCAATGTAGATAAGAGGATATAACTATTGAATCTTCAATACTAAAGGGACAAAGAAAGAAAAAAAAAACTAAGGTAGAGAATTAGAATATATGATTTATAAGAGAAAATATTAGTATATAATTCGTGAGAGAAAATAATGATACTCAATGAGTATGATTTTTAATAATGAAAATATATATAAAATGGAAGAGTGGAGGCATGAGAATGGGGTCCTCAAGGCATTTTCAGCTCTTCACGGAGTTGATTTTGGGTTTTTTATTTTTTTTATTTATATATATATTTTTTAATTTATAGAGATACTTTACTTTGTTCCGTAGATATTACATCAAAAATAAATATCATTTATCAGTATTTATTAATCAGATATTGGCTCAGCGACATCTTGCTTCTTTTCTAAATATTGGAGATTAAATTCAGTTGTACTACAAAAAATTAATAAATACCAGATATCTAAATGTTGGAGATTAAATTCAGTTGTACTAAAATAAATAATAAATACTATTTTTTCTGGGGCAAAAATCTATTTTAATTCATGGTTTTAGTTTATTTTGGTCTCTATATTATTTTTTAAATTGAAACGTTCATTTTTTGTCCTTCTAAATTTTCTACTAGAGGGGTCATTTTTCTTTCCTTCATCACTTAATTTTTAACTAGAGGGGTGCCAAAAAATATTTACTCTATATGGACATTATTCATTCTTAACTACAATTGTGATGTTAGAAAAACTCTCACACCAATTCGATGTTAGGCCTACAATACTTTGATGCCTAAATTAGTGTAAGAATTGAAGAAAGTTGGGACTAGAAAAAAGATTTTACGTGCACCTTATAATGACTTTTTCTCCACCCTTCCATAGAAGTACCTTTTAATCGATGGGACAATCGGACTGTACTCATATAGGGTCGTACAAGTGCTTGACCGCCTGGAACGTGTCAGCTTGTCGATTTGTATATGTTGCTCTGTTAGGCTGGACACATCGGGCTGTCACGTGGAATCAAGGGGAAGAGTCAGGGTGAGTCCCTTCTCGATCCCATCTCCAAACAAAATCTCCATGTAGGTCAGAGCTCAGTCTATTTGCCTAGTTCGAGTTTGATCCTTTTTGAAAGATCCAACTTAGTAGCCTCCCAATTTTCTTGTCCCATAATCAGGTAATCATTCGTCCCACAACATAATAGAGCATAAACAAATAAAAAATTTTGGAGTTGATTGCACGAATATTTTCAAGAAAGTTTTTAGTTATTATCTCTTTCAAAATTATAGAATTTGTAGTCAACTTGAGCACATATCAATTGATTAAGACATTATAAAATGTTAGAGTTAGGAATTCTCATATCTCACCCGTTTAGTTTAAAAATATTGTCAACTATATCAAATAAGAGTATAATAGAAGACAGCCAATGGGCAATTGGCAATGCAGATAATAAGAAGATCGAGTTTCATTAAGTTTAGCAACTCCCAACTAACAATTCATTAAATATGGAGAACCTTCATAATGCACATCCTCTTTTTGAATTTCAACCTTTGACAAAACACCATATAATATATGGACAATAAATTTTTTACATGACAAAAATGAAAAGTATCTCAAATCTTTTTTTCATCTGATTTTTGGTTTTTCTCTTCAAGATTAAGAGTAAATCATGATTTTCTTTTTAGATATAACATAATAAACTAGGATCAGAAGATTCAAACTAGTAATTGATCATATGACACTACATAATTATATTTTTTTTTAAAATTTATTTTTAATCTTTTAAAAATATTTTTTTGTGTGGTTCAATATCACTTTTTTCTTTCCTAATGAATGGGAGCTCTGTACTAAAAGAAAAAAATGGAGGTTTTCCCACTTTGAAATTTAAGGTACATATCACTTTGACTTTTCAATTATTTGGTAGTTGAGGTTGTATATTAATTACTATTTTGACTTCTTAAGTTGCATTAATGTATTCAGTTCACTGCCTTTTTTTAGGAATTAAAAGTTTTTAGTACTCATTATATTGCCCTTTTTAGATACGAGTATACTAATAAGGAGTATGGTGATAAAAAAAATATTTAAATTTACCAAATTTTAATGTCACGAGCACTACAAACAAGGTTTGAATCATCACAGGTTGGCCAATTGATCCAAACAAGTCGAGAAAATTCAAAAATAATTTAGTGGGAATAGATTCAAACTCCACGATTCGTAACCTTCACTTCAATATATACGTGGTTTTCTTTCTTTTTTATCTTTTTATAAGAGAAGGGGGAAATAGGAACAAAAATCCTTGGCAAGAAAAATATGGATGGGGATAAGATAAGGCATCTTATTGACTATGTCATGAGGGGAAATGTGGGATAAAGGTATTGAGATGGTTCCACTTCCCACGTTGAAGAAGAAAAATGTCAACGTAATGAATAGCCTTTTCAACATATAATTTTCAAATTACCCAACAAGCACTCACTTACTAATTCAGTATAGAATCATCATGTGGAGTTTCGAGTAACTGGATTAGTAATTTTTAGTAACATTATTGGAAAGATTCAGTCTCGTATTTTCATATCCTCTTTATTTTGGTTACGATATTTTGAAAAACGTTCTTTCAATTCTTGTTCATTTTAGTAATTGTGTGTGCTTTCAAATATACGTTTAGTCTACGTACTTTTAAAAAGTGATTGTTTTGGTCCATATTTACAAAATTTTAACACAAATTTTATACACATTAAAACTATTTAATATAAATTTATTAATGGCTACATATTAAAAAATAAAACATAACGAGTGAAATGCGTCATATTAAAATTTAAAAGTACAAGAACCAATAGACTAAAATAGAAATAAGTGAGATAAAAATGAAAATGAAGAGACTAAAACAGTTACATTTTAAAAATGCAGGAATCAAAACAAACGTTTCAAAAATATATAAACTAAAATGTATGTTTATGAATCAAAATGATGGAAGGAATAAATTGAATTATGCTTATGTTAGCTCAACCAAGGTTGCGATTTATGATGATAGATGGTGGACAATTGACAAGTGGGTCTGACTTATACCGTAAAGA